GGATGGATGGATGGATGGATGGATGGATGGATGGATGGATGGATGGATAGATGGATGGATGGAGAGGAAGGAGTAAGAGTGGGTACATCTATGGGCAGGAGGAGAAAAGAAGGGAGGGAGAAATGAATAGGTAGACAAATAGCTATGAAAGTTGTTTTGGGGTTTGTTTGTTAGTTAGTTTTTGAGGACTTGGGTGCATCCCAGGCTCCTACATGTTCCCCTCCATCACCACTTTCTCCCAGAATCAGAGCTACAGTAGCTACAGTAGGGATCCCCAGGGCACAGGCTGTGGTGGGTTCTTATGAATGCTGTGTGTATATGTGCACGTGGAGGCCAGAGGAAGAGCCCAGTATGGCCCCTGGGATGCCATCCACGTCCTTTTGGCAGGGTCTCTCACTGGCCTGAACTGACCCCCCAGTGCTGGGATGGCCAGTGTGCAGCACCACACCTGACTTTTTCTGTGGGTTCTAGGGGACCAGACTAGCACTTCGCTGACCCAGCCCCCCATTAACAGTATAAATATCACCAACAATTGTACATCCTCCCAGTAATTGATCACTTAATGACTGTGGCAGGTTATTCTCCCTTTCGAGGACACTGAGACGGGATTCTGTGATAGGCCATTGTCCTGGCCAGCAAAGAGAGGATGGAGAATGGCTATCTCTGGTTACACAGCCAACCTGTCCTCTGCCTACCATTTCCCTCACCTCTTGTGAAATGCCACAGTCATTGACACTGTCCCTGCTACCTATAAAATCAGTGGGAATCCCAAGAATATTTCAAGGAGAGCAAGAATCTCCTGTCTGCCAACCACACGTGAACCATGAAGACAGGTCTAGCAACTCCGCAGTGAGCCCCGTTTTTCATGTCTCCAAACTCCTGTCACCTCCCACTGTTCCCTCCCAGCCCCTGCCAAGGATGGAGTCCTGGAAGGAACAGAACTTTGGAATCAGAAGTTTTGCCTATAAACCCTGTCTCTGGCATGTATTAGCTGGATGACCTCAGACAGGTCACTTAACTCGCTAGGACTGAGTGTCGTTATTTGCAAAGTGGGTTATCTAATACCCACTCCGCAGAATTATCAAATAATATAAGTGAGTGATACATGACTCATCATAAGTCCCTGCTCTAACACATATTGCTGGGGGAGGGGAGTAGACAGTTCCATTTCCCTAAGCTTTCAGGTCTGTCGTTCTGGAACAAGGATAGACTCGCGTGGCATAACATGAGAGCCTCTTTCCTCGGATGTGGCCTGCTCTGATCTGGTGGCCATACAACAGATTTAGGTAGAACAAAGACAAATTACCGGTATCTTAACCAAGAGAGAGTTTGTTTCATACATGCTAGGGGGGAAAAAAATCACACCATACTGGAATATTTTCTCCCAGATGTTTCCCAGAGCAAAGCTAACTCCTCAGTGAGGTTGACGGAGGAAACGGGGCTTTTGAAGGGACCGCATCTTCAGTGAGCAAGTGTCCAGGTGGTGTGCAGGTAGCTCCAGCCAGAGGTGATGGGCTAGGGATAGCTTTGCCCCTCTGTGAAAAGACCAGAGCAGGACCTGGGGATCTACTGCAGTGCCTCTAGGCCGGCTTGGTGCGGGAGCAGACCTGCTACAAGGGCCGTCACTGGGACCACTGCTCAGCTGAACACAGAAAGAGTTGGCATGAACGTTCACTGCTCACTCAGGACTCTGTGCTTATGTCAGAAAACAGCCCTGTTTTCAGGAGACACACCTGAGGGATCTAGAGGTCAAGGGTCATGACATGCATCTCTTACCCTTACATTGCTCAGAGAAAGAGTGGAGGTGGGGGCCAAATGCAAGTAATTGAAGAGCCTGGGCAAAAAGATCTTTTCTGTGTTAAAGGAGCAGCGGGCTGCGTTCTTGCCCAGATCCTGGCTAGCTTACCCCTGAAATAATTACATGGAAACTGTATTCATTTAAACACTGCCTGGCCCATTGTCTCCAGCCCCTTATTGGCCAAAACTCACACATTAATGAACCCATTTCTAATAATCTGTATATCACCACAAGGTCGTGGCTTACCGGGAAGATTATAACCCACGTCCATCTCAGAAAGGAGAGCCACGGCGTCTGCCTGACTCTGTTTCTTTCTCCCAGCATTCTGTTCTGTCTACTCCACCTATCTATATTCTGACCTATCAAACCAAGGCAGTTTCTTTATTAACCAATGAAAGTAACACAATAGACAGATGACCCTCCTATATCATTTCTGTTTTGTTTTTGTTTTTGTTTTTGTTTTTGCAACTTGCAGTTGTTTCCAAATGGAGACTAGAGCAGAATGCACGCAGTGCAAATCCAAACTGCAGCCCTGTGCCTGGCCGCGAAATGCGCCTCACCTCTGGCTCTTTCCCTTTCTCTCCTGTGCAGTGTGGAGACGGTGAACGATGGTCAGTTTCACAGTGTGGAGCTGGTGATGCTAAACCAGACCTTGAACCTGGTGGTAGACAAAGGAGCCCCCAAGAGCCTGGGGAAGCTTCAGAAGCAGCCAGCAGTGGGCATCAACAGCCCCCTCTATCTTGGAGGTAACTCTCCCCCACCCTCCATCACCACCTTGCCCCACCCTTCCCACCTTCCCGACTTCCTGCTTCTGCACCAACACCCAGAGCTGATGCCAGGGGTCTCCCTGATGTCTTCTTGCCCCCTACTGCCAAGGTCAGTCAGAGGAGTCTTCCTGGAGGAAGTGATAGCAAAACTGGTTGCTGAAAGGGTGGCCAGGCGCTAGCCCAGCCATGGGGACAGACTCTGGACAGATGCTGGCGAAGGGAAAAGGGTGGGCCTCTGTGGGAATAGCAGGGGTGCAGGGAGGGGAGAGGAGGGAAGGAGGAGATGAAAGGGTGTCCGGGCTCTGCTACAGTTTAAGCTTCAGGGCAGTACCCCCTCTGGGCTGCCACCTCTTGGATGTGACAAGAAGCCCCACCACACTGAGGTCAAGCTTGTACCAGGGCCAAACTGGCAAACCACCACAAGCTGCCTAGACCAGAAATGAAGCCCCTAGGCTGGTGGGTCGTGAAGAATTATATGTAGAAAAGAAAAACCAACATCAGAGCAGGCACGGGGGTTCAGATTGGGACACGGGTAGAATGCTACCCTAGTGAGGGTGAGCGACACCCTGGGTTGTACCCAGAGACACGTATGTTCACACAGCCACTGACGCGGTTTGTTCAAGGCTGAGTCCTAAGACTCGGGTGTCCCCTGCCACGGGCTGGCCTTGGCCCAGGGACTTGCACTGTGAGCAGGCCATCTAGATGCAGGAGACACAGAGTACTCCGGGCCCAGACCCATCTCAGGACACAGATTCTCCACAAGGAAGACCCTCCCTCCTCTGCACCTGCTCCGCTGTGGCCTCAAAACTGGGCACTTTCCCCAGCCAACATCGGGCCTAGAGATAGGAATTAGCATGGAAGGGGAAGAGTAAAAGCTTTATTTTATTTTAATATTTTATTTTATTTTATTTTAGAGACAGGGTCTCACGTAGCCCAGGCTGACCTCAAACTTCATCTGTAACCAAGGATAACCTGAACTTCTAATACACCCACCTCTACCTGCTGAGTGCTGGGATTACAGGCATGTGCTGCTGTGCCCAGTATATGCAGTGCTGGGCATTGAATCCCGGGGCTGTGTGTACGCTAAGCATTCACAGCAGCTAAACCATAGGCCCAATAGTAAGAGGAGAGGGAAAATACAGACCAGACATCACCAAAAACAGAGTCAGGCCTTTACCAGTGGTCTGACTCAAAGGGTAGCGAATATCCTGGAAACCTTGAACCCCGGAGCTTCACTGATGCAAGCTGCTCCCCTACTCACATCTTCTCTCCCGAAATACAGCTCCTTTTCTGTGGGCTTTCAAACAAGAACGAGAGTAAGGGGGGGGCACCTCAACCCAGTGGGGACAGCAGGGTGGCCAAGTGTTCCTCCACCCACACCATACCTAAGGGATGGGCCTCGGTTAAGCCAATGGGACTGTGTGGCAGTCGGTGATAGGTCCTCTCATTTCTCCTCTGAAAGTTCACAACACAGACTTCCGGGGGACTTTTTTTCTGAGATTAAATACTGGTGATAAGTGGACTTTTAACAACATAGAGCAAGGACTCATTCCTGTGAGGAGAAGACCTGGTCTCTGACCCGTTAGTTCAGTTTGAACAGCAGAGGCCCAGAGCTGTGAACGCTAACTATGAACACATGTTGTGTGTGTTCTCATTTGTGGGGAAGGCCAAGGGGGTGGGGAAGGCCAAGGGGGTGTCTTCAGGCTGTCCCCATTTCCTCCCGCAGGCATCCCCACCTCCACGGGCCTCTCAGCCTTGCGCCAGGGTGCAGACAGGCCGCTGGGCGGCTTCCACGGCTGTATCCACGAAGTGCGCATCAACAACGAACTGCAGGATTTCAAGGCCCTCCCACCTCAGTCCCTTGGGGTCTCTCCTGGCTGCAAGTCCTGCACTGTGTGTCGACACGGCCTGTGTCGCTCTGTGGAGAAGGACAATGTCGTGTGTGAGTGCCACCCGGGATGGACTGGCCCACTGTGTGATCAGGAAGCGCGTGACCCCTGCCTTGGTCACAGGTGAGTGTCCTAAGAGCACTAGGTTCTCGGCTCACAAGCTGCCCTGCCCACATGGAAGGACTGAGCACTGGTGGATGCTGGGAGAATTGTGATCTTATTGTGGCTAGCACAACTGCTTAAAATGCCCAGAAGCGAGGCTCCTACATCCAAGCAGCAGGCCCGGCTTCAAAGCATGAACATGAGGGGGACTTTCTCAAAATATCTGTCTCTACCAGGCAGCCCGTAGGACCTGCTAGACTCTGCACTGCCCCTGTGTAATCAAAAAAGCCTCTCAGAAGGGACATAAAGCCCCAAACACAGCCCAGAAAATAGAAGACGGACGGATTCCAGTTCCTGAGTCTGCATAAGTGCACATCTGAATCATGTTTAATGGTTCAGCCCTTCATTATTCATTCCACACGTGTTTATTGAGGGCCTACTATGCGCAGGGCCTTGTACTCAGTGCAAGAGACCCCAGTATTCTAGAAACTGCCATTGACAAGATATAAGACCAGGCTTGAGAATGGTAATTTGGCTGGCTGGACAAGTTGAGGAATAATAGTCTTGATCAAGAAGGAAGGTGTGCTGTAGAGGCCTAAACTTCCCGTTACTCTTGATGTGTGTGCCTGGCCCTGGAATTAGTATGAATCCTGACCTGAATGTCATCAGTAGACTCAGCAATGTGTCATGATTGAAAATGCAGGCTTTGAGAGCTGGAGAGGTGGCTTAACAGGCAAAGGCTCTTGCCTCCCAGCCTGATGACCTGAGTTTAATCCCCAGGACCCACACAGCAGAAGGCGAGATCCAACTCCTACGAGTTGTCTCCTGACCCCCACAACCATGCTGTGGCATATGCACACACGGAGAAATAAACAGACAAATAAGTCAAAGCAATATTTTAAAAAGAAAGAGCTGGGAGCTCGAGAGATGACTCCATGGTTCTTCCCAAGGACCCAGGTTCAAGTTCCAGAACCCACGTGACAGTTCACAGCCATCTGTAACTCCTGTTTCAAAGGATCTGACACTGTTTTCTGACCTTTGTGGGTGCTAGGCACACATGTGGTACACATATATGCATGCAAACAAAATACCCACATACATTAAAAATAAATAAATCTTTTTAACTTTTCGAAGAAGAAAAAAGAGATGGCTTAGTGGCTAAGAGCACTTGCTGCTCTTGCAGAGAACCTGGGTTCACCCAGGCACCTACCTGGTGACTCACAACCATCTGTAACTCCAGTTCCAGAAGGTTCAATGCCCTCTTCTGGTGTCCACAGGCACCAGGCACATACATGGTGCACATACACATGTGTAGGCAAAACTATCATATACATAAAATAAACAACTCAAAAAATTTAATTACGAAATGCAGGCTTTACCATTCATCCATCCTTCTCTCTGGGAAATGAACAGCAGGCTAGTTCATGGGAGGGGCTATCACAGAGTGAGGAGTGACGCGCTTCACACAGTACCTGGTACATGGTGCATGTCATCTGCTAACATGTTAATTGTCTCTTGTCCAAAATGTCTGACACTAGAAATGTTTCATATTTGGGGTATCTTTTCACATTTTACAATGATGCACATCTACCTCTGAGATATTTGGGGGATGAGAACCAAGTGCATATACAGAGTTCATTTATATTTCATAGACCCCCTCATACACAAGGCCTAATAGTTCTGTATGATCTGTTCGATGTGTCTGTGTTTTATCAGCAGCCACTGATGGAGATCAGGTGTAGGATTACTCCTCTGGACTCCATGCTGATGGTTAAAATGTTTTAGATTTGGGGGCATTCTGAGTGAGGATTGTTCAACCTCTAGTAGTAGAAATAGTAATAAGAGCATTTGCTCTTTAAATTGAGGGAGGTTTAGAATACTGACAGAGACCAACAAAGTGACTCAGTAGGTAGAGGAGCTTGCTGCTAAGCCACCTGAGTTCAAACCCAAGGACCCACATGGTAGAAGAGAACCTACTGTAACAAGTTGTTCTCTGACCTCTAGATGTGTGCCCACATGCCCACATGTGCACTGGTGTTTGCACGCATACACACAATCAATAACGTGCAATATTTAAAATTGTCTTTGCCATATGTGGTGATGCATGTCTTTAATCCCAGCACTTGGGAGGCAAAAACAGGCGGGTTTCTGTGAATTTGAGACCAGCCTGGCCTACACAATGAGACCCTGTTTCAAAAAACATAAAAGTAATTATTTCTTAGTGTCAACGGAAAGCTCAAAGTCTGTTGGGTTATGAATTGACGCGGAAGACGTTGTCTCTGTAGGGAACAGAAGCAGATCGGCATCTGTCTGCTCAGAGCTGGTGGTGGATATTCGCTAGGGCACATGGGCTTCCAGTTACTTGGGATTTGCATGAAAAGAGGTGCTTAGACCCTGGACTGAAGGAGGACCGTGCCCAGCACAAGGTCCCATATCTCTGTCCTCTGGGAGGAAGGACAGAGGAAGCCGCTAGCAACACTGACTCTGGTCTCGGCCTCTCCCTCTGCCCCCAGCTGCAGCCACGGGAAATGTGTGGCAACCGGCAGCACATACATGTGCCAGTGTGCAGAGGGCTATGGGGGAGCCTTGTGTGACCACAAGAACGACTCTGCCAACGCCTGCTCAGCCTTCAAGTGCCACCATGGGCAATGCCACATCTCAGATCGAGGGGAGCCTTACTGCCTGTGCCAGCCTGGCTTCAGTGGCAATCACTGTGAGCAAGGTGAGTCTGTGGTCCTTGTGGGATGGAGGGCGTGCAAAAGAAACAGGGTCGAAGGAGCTGATTTTTCTCCAGAATAGACCATCAGATAGCGAGGAGGAAGCCATGCATAGTGGCTTAAAGGACCTGCCCAGAGAAGTAACTTGTACTGCCATTTCCAGGTCATTAAATCAGTTACACTGCCGAGGTACATTCATCAAAGAAGGCTACTGCATAGAAGATGTAGCAGGTGACAGGGTCATTATGGACACTGACTGACTGTCCTGCCACCTTGCAGGGTTTCTCAGAGGAATATACGCCATGTAGAGTGGTACCTAGGGATGTGCTCAGAGCTGAAATGTATGACTTAACTTTGTAAAACATCTAAGTAGGATTTTTTTAAAGATTTATTTTTATTATTTTTCTATCTGTGTGTGTGTGTCTGTGTGTGTATGCCATGTGTGTGCATTTCCCACGGAGGCCAGAAGAGGGCATCCGATCCCCTAGAACTGGACTTGCAAGTGGTTGTGAGCCACCCAGGTGCTGAGAACTGAGCTTGAGTTCTCAAGTCCTCTAGAAGAGCTGTAAGCACTCTGAACTGCTGGACCATCTTTATGGCCCCACGTTAGGACTCTTAAAAGTCATGAGATAAAATTCTGTGTGTCCTTGAGCCGGACAGTCCTCTCTGGGTTGTAATTCCCCACCCAAAACAACGGCACTCATTTATTGCAAACACTAAGTAATACTGTGATGGATGAGAATTCAACATTGATTCTTGAGTGAGATCCCCGAAGTGGCTAATAAGCCACCTAGAGTGGCCAGCACAGGCAAAATGGCCCAACAAGAAATACCAACAACGTTTTTCCTAAACTGTCTAATGGAGAATGCCTGAGTACAGAGGGAGGGGAGCACCCTCATGCTACCCCATCTCCTTGATTGACACTGACTCGGAGCTAAGAGAGAGTTTGTCTTCACAGGCAGAAGTAGGCAGTAGTCTCTTGGCGCACTACAGAACCCTGGGCTGGGCACCTGTCGTGTTGGCTGCTGGGCAGTCTCCATCCTCTCAGGCTCTGAGCCCGCTTGAGGAGATGCCTGCAGTTTACATGGCTGTACTGTACAGAAAAGGAGCCCAGATTCTGACCCTTCACCCTGCCATGACCCAGGCTTCTAGAGCAAATCCCCAGAGCTGCTGCTGCTGCAGTGTGTTCCACTCCAGGGGCAGCAGATGCCACACCTCCCCATCCCAAGGTGTCACCAACACTCTACCGTACTCACTTGCACGGCCACAATGTCACACCAGCACCCTGAACCATAACGCAGCAGATTAGGCCGTAGCCCATACCACACCGTGCCCATCAGGGACCAACAGGAAGCTGAGCGTGATCTGCAGTTGGGTCTTTAGAAGATCAACAAAACTGACAGATCTGTAGGTAGGCTACGGAAGGCAGAGAGAAGATACAAAATCAGAGATGACAAAAGAGACATTATAAGAAACTGAATTAGTGATGAGCCTTCCATCGTCAGGACTGGAGTGATGACTGAGCAGTTACGAGCACTTCTGACTCCTCAAGAGGACCCAAGTTTGATTCCTCATGCCCACATCCACCCGAGGCCCACAACTACCTATAACTTCAGTTACAGGGAACCCGATGGCCATTTAGGGCTTCTTAAGGCAAGAACACATATAGTGTATACACCCATATTCATAAATAAAAGGTTTTTATATTTTAAAAAAGTCTTCCATCATTAAATGAAAAGGTGCCTATAAGCCCTAAACGTGAGAGGAAGGGGACCAGAAATCCAGGGTCGTCCAGAGACCAGCTTAAGCTGCATGAGACTGCAGAGAGAGAGAGAGAGAGGAGGAGGAGGAGGAGGAGGAGGAGGAGGAGGAGGAGGAGGAGGAGAAGGAGAAGGAGAAGAAGAAGGAGGGGGAGGGGGAAGAGGAGGAGGAGGAGGAGAAAGAAAAAAGGAAAGGCATGGGGGAGGGGGAGGGGAGAAAGAGGGGAAGAAGTCTTCAATCAAAATTCCAGGACCCCATGAGCTTGCTAATGCTTTCTATCATACGTTTAAAGAAGCGTCATACAGTTCTTCCCAAACCAGTTCAGAAAACTGAAGAGCACAGCGTACTTCCCACTCATTCTGCTGAATTCACATTACCCTTACAGCCAGACAGAGAAACGTGTGTGGGAGAAGAGGGGACAAGGGAAGAGAAGGAGATGGGGTTGGGGAAAACCAAACACCTAGGGGTCAATGTCCCTGACAAACCCAGAAGCCAAAGTCCTTGGCTTGAAACTATCACTTTGGGGGTTTTCTTCTACATAATCACTGGCACCAGCTTCCAAGCCACACCCTGTCACTCAGGGACTCTTGTGTCTCACGTCTGTACAGGGCACCCTTAACTAAACCTGTTTGTGTTTTAAATCTGAAGTAATTTTCGCCTCGGGCCCATATCAGGATGGCATGCGCACCGCTCATATCCCCTTCACCCCATTGTTAGTGCTGCCATACCTGTGCTCCCACGTTCTACACGCATGCATGCCCACACGCCCTTCATCTCTCTGCTCTTTCCGAATCCTTTTAAAGCCCTTCCCAGTTTGAAAGAGTTTTGGAAGGTGAATTGTACGCCTGTGCATTGTACTGAAACACATAATCCTTTAAAACGCTCTGATGCTTTTTCTTCCGTCGCCTCTGCGGCTCATAAATGGGTATGGATCGTTGAGGGGGGTGGGTATAGGTGTCACGGTTCTCCAGGCAGATAGTCTGTAAAGCTGAGGCGCGAGAAGACAAGGGATGATGCCATGATTCTGCTTCCCTTTCCCAGATGTTCTGTCAGTGTTGGGAGGAAGTGAAGGCGAAGAACAGGGGTCAGAGGTGAACATCCCAGCACACACGGGAGTCCTCTTTACTGCTCTCCCGTAGTTTCTAGGACTACCAGAAACATCCTGAAGGGCTGTTACCTCATCAGCATCTTTTCCAGATCTCATCTGTGTGGTCACTTCCCCAAAAGCCTCCCGGCCTCTGGACCAAGTCAACTGCCTTTCGTGTGCTCTTATAGAAACATGCCCCTTCATAGCTTCTCTCTGCCTTGGTTTCTCATTACAAATAGATCCACTTCGGGGTCGATAGATTGAGTGTCCAGGCTCTAGATCAAGGGGGACGGACTAAGGGAGTGGTAGGGCCAGTCTGGGACCAGTTGGAGCTCTGCTGCCCCATCCAGAGCTCTTAGCATGCTGCCCACCGTGGCAACATGGGGAACAGGCTGGCCTCCACAGACCTCCTAGTTTCAAAGAACCCAGCAATCCAGATTCTTAAGTGAATCCAGATGTTTTCAATTTTAGTATCTAAGCGGCTGCCTAGTAACACGATTTAGCCACTCTTTACCAGTTGCTGGTCCCTTGGACTTGGAGGCTGGAGGGTACCAAGTTCACTCCTGTCACCAGAATATTTTGGAGGAATAATTGTCCTTGTGTAGAGCCTGGCGCAGTAAAAGTTCTCCATTATACAGGGAGGGAGGGACAGACAGAGGAAGAATGGAAGAAAGAGTGGGTAAGTGGGGGGGGGGGAGGGGGACGAGCTAGTGAATAAGTACGTGCGGCTTCAGATCACGTGTCCCCTGATAGCCAATCAGGGAGCCGCCCCATGGTCATACCAGACCCCCTTCACCATCAGTGCCCTAACGATACATCTCTGCCCTCTTTAGAGAATCCATGTTTGGGGGAGATAGTCCGTGAAGCCATCCGCCGTCAGAAAGATTACGCCTCCTGTGCCACAGCCTCCAAGGTGCCTATCATGGAATGCCGCGGCGGGTGCGGGAGCCAGTGCTGCCAGCCAATCCGCAGCAAGCGGCGGAAATACGTCTTCCAGTGCACCGACGGCTCCTCATTCGTGGAAGAGGTGGAGAGACACTTGGAATGTGGCTGCCGCGCGTGTTCCTGAGCCCTCTGCCACCTTCCCACCCGTCACCTCTCAGACTCCAGCTCACTGGGCTGGGGACAGCCACACGGAACCTCCTTGAGATTCGGGATGAAGGAAAGAAAGCTGGAGAGGAAGAGGCAAAAGAGAGAATATTAAGTATATTGTAAAATAAACAAAAAATAGAACTTATTTTTATTATGGAAAGTGAATATTTTCATCTTTTATTATATAAATATATCACACGGTCTGAGTATATGTACTATATAGTGTGTTATTTTTACCGAGTTTTGTTTTGTGTTGTGTATTTGTTGTGTTTTATAAACAGCTGTTTAAAATTTTAAGACAAAATAAGACTAATAAAAATGTTTTAAACAAAAGGATAAGAATAGAGAAACGGTAGCCTGTCTGAGGAAGGAAGAGGGAATTTTATGCGTACTGTAGCCACCATCTCATTGCCTAGGAACAGCACCATCCAGCACGTGTCTGAACCCCACTTCATCCAACCTTGACTTCTCTGGTAAAATGAACCCCATTTCTTAACTAACGACACCCAGGCCCCTTTTGGGCTCCGTTGCTTGCCTTACACCACCATCTGATAGGTAGAGGAGCATGGGCTGGGCGTAGACTCAAACTCCAGATTCCTCCAGAAGGAGTGGATACAGGAGACAGGCAGCGGAAAAGACCCATTGGCAAAAAGAAAGCAGGTGTGTTTCCAGCTGCCTTTTCTCTTTGCTCTTTGTTCAGTTTTTCCTTCTGCTTCATTCGTGTCTAGGGAAATTCTAGAGGCAGGGCCTCAGGCATCCAGGAAGCTCTTATTGCCATTAGCAAGCACGGTTGTCCAGCTTCAGAATCAGCTCCTGAAGGCCTTTCCTCATCTCCCACATCTTCCCCCACCCGCTCTCCCCCCTTCACAGCCCTTCAGCGTCTGAGCCGCTCACACCAACCCCCGGTTCTGCCCATCTATCCTCCTTTCTCTAGAGCCTCTGCTGCTGGGGCCTCAGGAAGGAGAGCATGGGACCTTTCTGCTCTGAGGGTCCCCTGAGAACTCAGCTACTCCGTGAGGACCGATGGTCGGCCCAAAACTAAAAGTGAAGAAGGGAGAGAGAAAAAGAGGAAGGTAGAGGGACGGACACAAGGCAAGTGGAAGAAAGGAAGGAGGGCGAAGGGATATGATAGAGAATTCACTTTTGGACAAGCATAGGCGTGTGCATTGCGTTCCAGGGTACCTTATGATGGGTGTGTTGAAAATGCTCATAGTTAGTTTAGGTAGTGCTCGGTACAACACACTCAGATGCCACTGCAGTTGCAGCCCATGTATTTATTTATTTATATGCCTATAGTCATTTAATTCTCAAAACAGTTCTATGTAAAGTCATTACTAACCTACTTTATGGTTGAGTAAGCCGAGATAGAGAAACTAAGGATCTTACCTAAAGGTCGATTACTAGTAAGTTCTAGAAGCAAAGGCTTGAGCCCAGGCTGTCAGAATCCAGAATTTCCTCGCTTAACCACTATATCACACCACTTCTTGTAGGAAAGAAACACACTGTGCCTTTAAGGATCCTACAATCTGGGGCAGGAACAGTGGTTAAGTGGACAGTTGCTTTGTTGTGATATACTGGTCTTAGCCAAAAGGTCAAAGAGCAATAATTGCCTGAGATATATATACCTTAATGACAGAATAATGAGGGCCATGCAGAGGAGGGTATTTCCAGTCCTCTGTATCGGTCAGGAAAGGAGTTTGGTAGCACAGGAAATGACCCACTAAAAAGCAGTAAAAAGGGAAAAGTCTGGAATGTTTGGTGAGCAGCCAGAGGCCCGTGGTGGCAACAATGTGAAATGTCCCCCGTGGGGCCACAAGAAATGGGGAATGTGAAGGCATAGTCCTACAAAAAAAACAACAACAAAAAAAAAGTCACATGGCGAGGCCACAGGGAACCAAAGACTCCGCAAGGGCAGGGCAGTAGCAAGATAGTTTGTGGGGTAGAATGGGGAGATAGAGACGCAGCAGAATGAGAAAGCAGGCGTGTAGGCTTTATTATTCAAAATGGCCTCGGGGCTCATAGTAGTTCAGTTTGTGGCCAGCGTACACTAATCTCAGAGTGAATCTCAAAGTCTCCACGATAGCTCAGGAATTCAGTTCTGGAAGAGGTGTCCTAGGATGTGCCCAATGTTCCCTCCTAACCGTCCTGTCCCACCCCCAGCCCAACAAATGGACCTGATTATTCCATCACTAACCCCCCTCCAACTCTGGGAGGAGACACTGGGCTGGAAGCTTTCTCTCTGCGGCCGCAGAACCCTGCCGCCTCCCTCTTCCACTCGCCCTGTGTTCGTCTCTGAATCCAGCCACAGTCAGCCAAGGACGGAAGGGCCAGGTTTTGTTTCCAAGTATGGCTTTGACAGGCCTGACCATACAAGATGTCAAACACAAAGACCATCCATAAAATCATCCCCAGAATGAAGTTTCTCTAAAACTGAAACTTAAAAAGTTTATTCTTGAGAGTAGCCAGATTCTAAGACCAGAACCATTCCATGCACAGGAAGAGGTCGGGCAGTTTGCACTCTGAGGGGTGTGGTTTAATGTGTGCACGTGTGTGTGTGGGGGGGTGCTTATATAGAAGAATCCATCTGCTCTCTTACCCCCTGAGGCGGGTCAGGATATAGCAGACCCCTTTGGGATTCATCAAAGCAGGGTGGGAGGGGTGTGTGTGCCCCAGATGGGTGATGAAATGATACATCTCAGAGCAATGTACATACAGAGCAAAGCCCTGAAATGTACGATGTCATTAATACTGTTGTCGTTGATGTTATGGACATGCCAAACAGCCATTTTTAAAAGAAAACCTTGCCTATTCATCTCATGGCAAGGAGTCTGATGCTTCAGAAAATGAAAGGGGGAGGGGAGAAGACTTCCCAGGGTCAGCAAAAGAAAGGAGAAATGCTCCCAGGGGATCCTCAGGAACCCATGAATGACCAGACTGAGACTGAGCCAGCCTTACATTCCCCAGAGAAGCAGTCACCCACTGTCTCTGCTTGGAGCAGGAATCCTTAGCAATAGATGAGATACCCTTCAAAGAATCACAGGATCCCAGGTAGCAGAGGTGGGGGGACCCTTGGGATTGCTGTGGGTCAGAAAACAAGGATTCGAGATATGAGATGAGAACTTCCACAAATCAAAGTTACGCAGCTGGTTCATACCTAAAGGCAGCAAGGGCTCCAAGGGGTCCATACAGCCAGTTGCTCTTGCTATACCACAATGAGGATCAAGGCAGAGAACAGCCTGAGACTGAACACATAAGCAGAAGTACGTCCGCCACCTTCCCACAGCCACCTCCCCGGGTACTCATAGATGGCCGGACAGCTGGGACCAGGGACAGCTTGGGCATCACTCACCCGTATTGTCAACTGGGAATATAAACAGCACCATGGGAAACACTGGGACAAAGCTAATCATACATGGGAGACAGTGTAACCGTTAGTCAAGGCAGAGTTGGCATTTGGCAAAACTTACTTCTCTAACTTAATGGATTCTAATAAGAAAAATGTTCCTTTTAAATAAACTTAACACTGTTACAATGCCACTTCCTCAGTATGGAATAAAGAATATGCATTTCTTGTTTCAACCTCTGCCATCTTCTGATGTCATTCAAATAAATAGATGTGTCACAGGGGAGTCCACGGTGCTCTTGTGAATGCATAACTCGGTCTTGCTCTCTAGGGTGTGTTTTGTTTTTGCCCCTGACTTTTATACCCTATAGGTATAATATAAAATGTAGTATAGGTACTACATTCGTGGGGTTTGGGTAAATCTGTGTTGAAAGAAACTAATTTCTTAGACCATTAAGTAAGAAAAAACACATCCAGAATTCTCACATACATTCCCTAAGGCCCACATATATGGCTTAGGCTCCAGGGTCTATAAAAGATGTGGCTTGGGGCTGGAGAGATGGCTCAGTGGTTAAGAGCATCGTTGCCTGCTCTTCCAAAGGTCCTGAGTTCAATTCCCAGCAACCACATGGTGGCTCACAACCATCTGTAATGAGGTCTGGTTCCCTCTTCTGGGCTACAGGCATACACACAGACAGAATATTGTATACATAATAAATAAATAAATATTAAAAAAAGAAAACGCTAAAAAAAAAAAAAGATGTGGCTTGAATAGGGTTCAGTCACAGACTGTATGCTAAGGGTTGTGGTGAAGGAAGCCTCTCATCTTCAGAATGGAGAAGACACATAAGCAGAAGGTGAGTCCTCCAGGCTCATCCCCTACTTGTATTTTTTGTTTGTTTTGTTTGTTTCATTTGTTTGTTTGTTTGTTGAGACAGGGTTTCTCTGTGTAGCCCTGCCTGTCCTGGAAATCACTCTGTAGACCAGGCCGGTCTTGAACTCACAGAGATCCGCCTGCCTCTGCCTCCTGAGTGCTGGGATTAAAGGCATGCGCCACAAACGTCCAGCTCCTCTACTGGTTCTTTCACCAAGCATCTACTGCGCATCTATTACATGCCAGGTATCATTCTAAGCAATAAAGATCCCAAAGATAATGAAGACCAAGTCTTGTTTTGGAGTGTAGGTGTTAATTGACAGGGTGCCAATCGACACCTAGAGATACTGGTAACAGCTATCCATAATCGCTTAAGAAAACAAAGGAGAGGAAATGTGACAGGATTATAGGTGGGTGCTTTACTAAGAGAGAGCAAGGCAGCCTCTATGGTGGACTGAAAAGCAGGATACCAAGAAACTAAAAGACAAGGAGAGTGACAGTCCCACTCTTGCCAGTCACCTCCTCTCATGTGGTTACTTTCATGGGCAATGATGATCCAAACATTTTACAGGCCAGAGAAGATGATACAAGGAAATCCACCCACCTCTCTGCCCTGGGCACACTTGAGAGGCTATGAACTCACCCAATGAGGACCGCTGTGCATATGGAAGCTGTCAGAGGCCAGTTGAATTTTATATCCTTGGAGAAAGGCCCTACTTTCCCCAAGGAAACGGCCCTTGTTGAGATGCCAGCAAGAATAAGACACTGGCAGCAGCATATGTCCCAGTGCTAAGATCAGGAAACCCTGCGTAGGCTTATCAGAGCCTTCTCTGAGTACCTAGATAGATACATGTACCAAAGAAGAAGAGTTGGGATACAGAAGAAGCATTCTATAGAGCTCCTTGAAATGACTTGCTGGGAACGCATGGCAGCTGGTGTTCTGTACTTGGGTTTGGAACACTGTTATCAATAGGACGCCGGGACAAGGGCATTCTGGACAGAAGGAAATGCCACCATCCTGCTGTCATCCTGTGTCCCTACTATATAACCAGTCCAAATGGATACAGAGCAAGAGTCTAGATTTACTATCTTTAGGTGGCATCTGAAATATGGTGGAGTAGGTGATGGTCAACTCCAGACTCATTTTCTTTAATGCTCCTGTGGGATTCCCCTCTGTATGCTGTGAATATGTCTTATTACCACCAGTTAATAAAGAAGTTTCTTTGGGTCTATGAAAGGGCAGAATAAAGCCAGGCAGGAAATCCAAACAGAGAGAAAGTAGGCAGAATCAAGGAGACGCCATGTAGCTGCCAAAGGAGAAAGACGCCTACCCGGGAACCTTACCAATAAACCACGAGCCGCATGGTAAAATACAAAATAATAGGAATAGGTTAATTTAAGATGTAAGAGTTAGTTAATAAGAGGCCTGAGCTATTAGGCCAAGCAGTGTTTCAATTAATACAGTTTCTGAGTGATTATTTCCAGTCTGGGCAGCCAGGAAACAAACAAGTAGCCTCTGCTCCCAGAGTGACACTATTAGAAGAAACTGTATTTGTTACTTTCTTGTTGGTGTGGCATTTTATTTTGGTGGCTTTAAGGGGTTATAGCTCACCATGAAGAGAAAGGCACAGCAGCAGGAGCAGCCGATGACAGTGGCAGTGGGAGTATGAAGCTGCTTGTTCACATTTGGACCGATCAAGAAGCAAAGAGAGACAAATGTTGGTACTCAATAGGCTCCCTTCCTTATATTCTTTTATCCAATCCAGGCTTGTAGACCATGGGATGCTGCCTCACGCCTTAGGATGAGTCTGCACTCGGTTAAATCTCTCTGGAGATACTCTCACACACATGCCAAGGGGTGTGTCTTCTAGCTGATTCTTATGACAAGGAAGAGTAACCAAGAGCATGCATGAGTGAAAGAAAGGTCTCTAACAAACCACTGGGGAAACTGGATATGCATCAGTACCTATTCCTAACCAGCTCCTGAAATGCACTGGTAAAGGTCAATGAGTCAGTGTGAGACATGGATCTATTAAACTACCAGAACATAGAGAAAATGCTTCTGGACATGGATGTGGGCAAAGAGGATCCTGAGAGCTTAGGCATCCGAAGTAAACAGGTGGGACTCCAGAGCTTCTGCAGAGCAAAGGGAAAGGTTCACAGAGTAAAGAGTGACCCACGGCCATGGGAAATACGTGTGTTAAGAGGTTGACAGCTAGAATGTATGAGGAAAATAAAGGGAGCCAATAAAAAGACAGAATCTGGTTTAACAATGGGAAAAAGACCTGAATGAACTTTTCTAAGAAGATACACAACCACCAAAAGCCTTGTAAGAAAATGCTCCAAAGTGCTGGGAGAAATGCAGTTCAAGACCACATTGAGATTATCATTCATTTCAGCAAGAATGGTTGTCAAAAGCATGACAGACAACAAGTACTGGTAAGGATGTAGAAGGGAACCCCCTGCACACTATAGGGGAGGATGTAAATTACTACCGCTCTTGTGGGAAGCAGTTTGGTGTTCCTTAGAACAGCATCCTTGTTTTGTTTTGTTTTGTTTTGTGAGACAGGGTTTCTTTGTGTAACTCTGGCTGTTCTGGAACTCACTCTGTAGACCATGCTGGCCTAGAATTCAGAGATCCGCCTGACTCTGCCTCCTGAGTGCTGGGATTAAAGGTGTGGGCCACCACTACCCAGCTGATCCAGCATTCTTTCCACAGAGAATATTTACATGCTTTCTATTTACATGCTGAAAAGCTACCTGCTTGCCCATATTTATTGCTGCATTGTTCACAACAGCCAAGACTCAAACCTAGAAGTCTATCAATAGACAAAATTAAAATTAATGTGGTATATATCCATAAAAATGGAATACTATTGGTTGGTTCATATAAAAGGATGCTGTTCGGGGCAGGAGAGAGAGCTCAATGGTTAAGAGCACTTGTTGCTTTTGTAGAAGACCTGGGTTCAATCCCCAACACCCACACTAAGTGGCTCATAACTGTCTGTTATTCTAGTCCTGGGCCTTCGTGGCACTATATTTTGGTGCACAGACATTCTTGCAGGTAACACACCCATGCTTATAAATAAAATAAAATGAAAAATAGAAAGATGGAATTCTGACAGCTGCAACTTGCTACACCTGGAGATCACTGTGTTAAAGTGTTAAATGAAATAAACTGCAGTAAGATAAATACGGCATGATCTCACTCATGTGGAGTCCAATTGAAAAAGTCTCTTAGAACCTTTGGTACACGCACCAAGTATTCAAATGCCAGAGACTGGGGGTGGGGGTATTTATCAATCAAACCATCACACTGTCTAACCAATGAGGGAGAGATCTGAATCATACAGAGGGAGGATGGGATCCAGGACTCTGCAGTGCCCTGTCCATTGTAACATCCTGATGTGTATGCAGCAAACCCCTGGTGAATGTCTGCGATCAGATGTTTTCCCACACAGAGTATCTTGAGCAAGATACTCAGCTCATCAGATTATGGAAAGAAGACCACACTAATCAAGAGACGGAAACCATCCCCCTTACCTTGGAGCAAAGCTTAGCTGGCTAGATTTATGTCAACTTGACCCAAGTTAGAGCCATCTGAGAGGAGGGGACCTCAATTGAGAAAATGCTTCCAGAAGATCCAATCTGTATGTAAACAAACCTGTAGGGCATTTTTCTTAATTAGTGATGGTTGGGGGAGGACCCAACCCATGGGTGGGGAAACTTCTGGGCAGGTGGTGGTCCTGGGTTCTAAAAGCAAGCAATCTGAGCAAGCCATAAGGAGCAAGTCAGTAAGCAACACTCCTCCATGACCTTTGCATCAGTTTCTGCCTCCAGGTTCCTGCCATGTTTGAGTTCCAGCCCTGACTTCCTTCAGTGATGGACTACAATATGGAAGTGTAAGTCAAATAAACCCTTTTCTCTCCAACTCGCTTTTGATCGTGATGTTTCATCATAGTGATAGTAACTGATATGAAAGTCAATACAACGCCTGGGAAATGACGGAAGCAGCCCCCTTTTACAGTGACTGTCCCGAGTCCAATCATTTATCATACCCTCCCACAATCCTCAAAAACACAGCAAGGTCAGAATTGTTACTCCACGTTATGAAGCTCTGGAATTGTATCCAATGTAGCCATGGCCTAGGGTTCAATGGGTAGAAAGTCACAGGGCTCTCCCAGCTATTGCTTTTGTCTTCTTTATTTCTTCCTATCCCTAGTCCTGCCACTAGAATCTCACCATTCAGAAGATATCAACTGGATATCTGGAGAGAGCCCAGGACAGAACAAGACCGATTCTACAGTGATGCATCCCTTGTCTTCAGAACCTTGGCATGTCCCTTGGCACTTCAGCTCAGGACTCAAGCCTTGAATCCCAAAGGAAAGAAAGCTCTGCCTTTTCAACACATCACCTCAATCTTGGGCTTTGCTTCTCTA